GTTGATTACATCTGAGAGAACATGGAAAACCACTGAATTTTATGATACATGAATTATGTATCAATTTTTTAATTTTATTTATTTATTTATTTATTGAGACAAGGTCGTAGTCTTTCACCCAGGCTGGAGTGCAGTGGAATGATCATGGCTCACTGCAGCCTTGATCTCCCAGGCACAGGTGATCCTCTCAACTCAGCCTCCTGAGTAGCTGGGACACCACAGCATGTGCCACCAGGCCCAGCTAATTTTTAAAAAATTATTTGTAGAGACAAAGTCTCCCTATGTTGTCTGGTCTCAAACTCCTGGGCTTAAGTGATCTTCCTGCCTTGGCCTCCTAAAGTGCTGAGATTACATGTGTGAGCCACCACACCTTTTTTTTTTTTTTTTTTTTTTTTTTTTTTTTAATACAAAGAATGCACAGGTTTGAATCCTGGCTCCCCCACTTACTTGAGACATAACCTTGGGAAAGTCACTCAACCCCTCTGCGCCTCAGTTTCATCATCTGCAAAATAAGTCTACCAATAATGCCAACCTGCATGTAAGTACTTAGGGGAGCACCTGGTACATGGTAAGCCTCCAATATATATTAGCTTTTATTATATTTAATTTGAAAATTCTCCCTAAGGGGACAATCCACTCATCTGAAAGTTAAATCATTCATGGGAAACTTGCATTAAGAAGACAATATTGATATCTCGCTGTGTTGTTTTAAAGAGAATCTGGATGCGTGGTTAAGATTATTAATCTTGTGGAGGTTGGAAATAATTGTACTGGGAAATGCATATCACCACCCGTTTGCATTAATTATCATATTTACTCTAGATAACACTGAGTTTTTACCCAAGTTTATGCAAGCGTCACAGCTGAAGTACTTATGAAATCAGGCTTGGATGTCTTCAGGGTTCATGTGCTCAAATACTACATAGAATCACCTCCTAAAGTCCTCTAGTGTTGAAACCAAAACTTGGGTACAACTTCCTTCCCTTGCTAATTAATTACTGACAGCTTCCCTGCATTAGTCAGCCAGTGGGATGCCCTCTCTTGTTGACCCCTCTGGGGCAGGAATCATACAGAAAAAGTGACAGAAAGGAAAGACATAGGTGGGGAAGGAGATAGAAAGAAGAAATAAAGTAGGGAGGGAAAAGTAACAGAGGAGGTGGAAAGAGGAGAGTTGGCGTGTTGCACAAAATAAAGCCAGTGAGGCTAGGGAAGGCGAGATTATGGGTGACCTTCACAGCTGGTGGGAGGGTGCAGGCCAGAGGGCACCACAAGAATATCCTGAGTGGGCCAAAGAGGTGGTGTATCATGTTTGATATCACATTATCAAGATAGATTGAAGGAGTGACAGTCAAGGAAAGCAGCAGTAATTCACACTTGACCTCTGACACCAGGGATTTCAGAAAGCCACAGAAAGGTTAGGCCCTAACGCAGGTGGAGGCTCCACCTGGGCTCCCCTGTTCAGAAAGTTTCATAGGAAAGGAAAAAAAGGATGTTTCATGGGAGAGCCTCCATCTCAAGCATGTGCGTGTTTATCTGCACACCTTAATAAGGGCGCCCATATGGGTTGTCTTCTCATTCTCTTGATAGTGTCCTTTAATATACAAAAGCTTTTCTGTAAAAACATTTTGATAAAGTCAAATTTATCTCTTTTTTTTTTCTTGTTTTAGATTCTTGTACTTTTGGTACAAGGAAAAAAACATCTCAGAAACCATTTCCAAATCCAAGGTCACAAATATTTTCCCCATTGTTTTTTTCATAAGAGTTTCACAGTTTTAGATTTTCTATTTAGGTCTTTGATCCATTTCAAGTAAATTTTTGTATATGATACAAGGTAAGGGTGCAACTTCATTCTCTTGCACTTGTATATGCACCAGCACCCTCTGTTGAAGACACTACTCTTTGCCATTGCAATGGTCTTGGCACCACGGTAAAAATCAAGGCAAAGGATGTAGGGGATTATTTCTGGATTCTAATTCTATTCCATTGATCTACATGTAAAAGACTTTTTTGGAGACAATCAGGAGAAATTTAATTATGGATTGAAAATGAGATAATATTAAAGAATTATTGATTGTCTTAGCTACTGTGGCTATGAAACACATTTTTCTTATTTTTTATATTTAGTGAAGTATTTCATCATAAGATCCCAAGACTTTCTTTAAAAAAAACTGGTCAAAATTTTTCTTTAAAATGAAAGAAAAAAACAGAGAAAGATGAAGAAGTGCAGCAAGATATTGAAAATTATTTAACCTGAGAATGGCCATATGGGTACACATTATGCTACAGTCTCTCCTGGGTATATGTTTAAAAACTTTGATAATAAAATGTTGAAATAATCTTGGAGGGAGGCCTTGGGCTTGCCCACTAACAGTCAAATTTGAATTTGGATCAGAAACAGAATGTGAGAGCAATGAGGAAAGCACAGGTCTTTTCTTGCTGTAGCCACACCCAGCCCCAGTTCTCCAGAGCTGCTCTGGCCCTAGATAGTATAGACTGAACCTGAATTCTTCACAGCTGGGCTCAATCATCAATTCTGCTGGAATTCACCAAAAAATCAAGAAAAGTGGGTGTGATTTTCTTTTTTTCTCACTAAAACCATTTTAAGGCCAGGCATGGTGACTCATGCCTGTAATCTCAACACTTTGAAAGGCTGAGGTGGGGCAGATCCCTTGAGGTCAGGAGTCGGGGAACAGCTTGGCAACATGGTGAAGAACTGTTTTAATATTCTCCTGAGTGATGATCTACCATCCTTGTTAAAGTATTTAATTACATAACTCGATAAGATTTTGTCATAAGAAAACGTCCAGAAAAAAATCTCCTATGTAGGGCCCAAGACACTGCACACAAACACACCTGCACATACAGACATACACATGCACAACCACCACACACATACATTCTATCATCAAGCAATGGTTTTCTTCATCAGACAGATGAAATGCAGACTATGAATCCTGTTGTCCAGCAAGGTACAAAAAAATTGCATGCTTTTTCAAGACACACCCTGCCCATATGAAACGAGGAAGGAACACTATGCGGTGTCCATAGGTCTTTCGATGACAATTCACTTTTGTGGTTGAGCCATATCCAAGGTTCTTTGCCAAAGGGCCCTCTTATCTGAATTCTTCTTTGATAATTATGTTTGCTTTATATTTATAAATATATACATTAATACATAACCTTCCACATCTATAAATCCTATCTCATATATATTCCTTAAAGGTATGTAAATGTACATACTTTATACACCACTGAAGATATACACATAATCAAAATACATAAGACTATATACATAGTTCAATGTTTCCTATTTTATAGCTCTCTCTATCATATACCATTAAAAGTGGTATAAAATCATATATAGATTTCTCTATCTCTAAAGCCCTTTGGGTGACCCTTTGAGCCACAACGAACTCAGTGTGGGTTCAGAAATTGGCTGGCCACACCCTTGGCTAGAGGGCGAGGCTGCAGGCAATACCTGAGTGGTGGCTGGTGCTGTAATTGATGGAGGGTAAGAAGGGGAGAGACACTTTGACAAGTCTATCCTCTTAGCGTCCTACAACTTGCATCTCCTTGCCTGGTCTTGCCAAGAGCTTAAAGTCATGTTTCATTTGAAAGGCCTACAACGGTAGTCTTCCTGCTTTTTGGAAAAAGCATTATTGCCTTTCCCATGAGTTGGCCAGTCTCTCTTTCACCAAACATCTGCCAATATGTGAGAGAATATGACTGTGTTACAAAGTCTACTGAACCTTATATGAAGCCAGAACAATAGATAAAAATGTTTACTCCATCCTTAATAAAATAATATACGGAGATTAGACAAAAGGTGTTTCACCTGGATTTAGCAACTATGCATTTGCCAAGAATCTTACTCTTGTATTTGTCAAGACTTTTTCAATTGCCAGTGACCAAATCCTACTTAAAACTGACTAGACCAAAAATATTACCCAATAATGTTTTGGAACTATATGCTCCACCAAAATAAGTGGTATAAATAGCAGGAGAGGGAATAATTTGCAGATGATATTGCATACTTAATATATCTTACATACTAATACGAGAGGTTAGTAATATGGCTACATACAAGATTAATGTGTAAAACTGAAAGCAGTACATTAATTACGCATAGTCAATTCAAAAGAGAAATAGAAAAATTGCCCTGCGCATAATGGTTTCAAAAATAATACAATGCAGAAGAATATTAGTAAGAAAAATATAATACTTTAATAATGTGCAACTTTTTATTTATGGACATAAAACAAAACGTGAATAAATAATGAGGGATGCATATTTTTGAGTAGGAAGATGTAATAGCAAAAGGATGCCAATCTCACTCATTTAATGAAAACCAAGCAACCATACTCATAGGACAATACCCTATTGAGATAAAAGCAAAAATATGGAAACATATGAATGTAAAGAAAGTATACAAGAATGTTTATTATTGTTCATAAACCCAAAAAGTAAAAAACACATAAATCTCTATCAATATTAATTGGTTGGAAAACTGCATTGCATCCAAAGTAAAGATATTATGTAATTATTAAAAGAACATGTCAAATCTGTATGCACTGAACTATAAAGATATCTTTAATTTACTGACAAGTGAAAAATCTGATATAAAAAAACATAGCCAGCATATTAGATTTTATATTAATAAAATAGAAGTGAGAATTTACTCTAAATATATGCACATACATATTATAATTTCAAAAAAGTTGAAAAGAATGCACACAAAACTGCTAAGAATATTTTCCTCTGGGGTAGTATAGAATTGGCAAAGAAGGAAAGTTTCATTTCTTACTGTGGTTTTTGATGTTTTTCCAAAAAGCATTTAAATTGCAGCCTAAATATGATCTACAATTATATCAATTGTATACCCTTACATATCAACCAGAGCTGCTTTATACAATTTGCTACCCAATAATTAAGTGAATGGTGTACGAAATAATTCCTTAAACCAGAAAGAAATTCCAAATGGGACAAATGTAAATGACAACTTATAGTTCAGTAAGAAATCTCCCTTTAATGTCCAAAGCAAGATTATTCTTAATGTGCTAAAGGAGAGATGACTTACCATAGGCAATGGCTTTCCCTGTTTGCAGTTGATACCACCAATGAAGACCATGTTGGGCATCACAGGTTTGGGATAGTCCAAAACAAAGTCAGTGCGCAACAGCCAAATTGATGTGTGGCTGTAGAGATCATATGCCGTGACAGGTGTTTGGAGAATTTCAGAGGCCATTTCTAAGACATTTTTGAAAACATAGGGGCAAAATAAATGTTCCTCTAAGTGCGCGATGTGGTTCCATACTCTCTCCTTCAAAGTCATGGCATCTGAGAACCCTAAGAGACCTCTGGGGACATAGGAAAGAGGAGCAGGGCACTGTGCACCTTCTTCAAGATAATGGCAAAATACTCCCCTGGTAAAGACCACAGAGGGAAGGGAGAAGTATTTGGCAATAATTAAACCACAGGCATCAAAAGGATCCAGAAACACCGCATCAAAAGAAGTCTCCTTTAAGTATTCTACTAATTTTTTGTCCTTAAACAAACTCTTACAATGTGAAAAAAATAAGTCAAAAATACTACTGGATGAACTTGTTAATAGAGAAAGTGGACTTCGTAGCGGTGCTTTCCATTGAGCATTGGCAAAAGCCATGAACTCCCGGTCCAGATCCTCCAGAGTGTATGAGGTTGAGTAAGTCTTCACTGTGCAATTCAGTGAGCTTCCCAGTTGCCAACTCACCTCTGGCATAAGTACGACCACCTCATGCCCCCTGAGGATGAGTTTCTCTACCACCGACCTCATGGTGAACCAGTGGCTCCCGTCCATGGGCACTACCAGCAGCTTCCCTGCCTGGGTAAAGCCACAGGTCAGCAGCAGACACACATATAGGGGAAGGAAACCAGTCCACTCTGCAGGAGCCATCAGAGAACTGCAGCCTAGAGCAAGTCAGCAGCTGGGATTCTAAGCTCCTGTAATACAGTAAGCGGAAGAAGTACAGATAGAACCTGCCCCCACAAGAAGGCGTGTACTCACCCATTCATTAAAAAAAAAAAAAAATCATACTCACTGCCAATGATTTACTCATAATAACACGTAAGTAGCCTTTGCCGAGATAACTACTTGTATGTTTTCTAGAAAAGAAAACACATCATCTTTGCCTTGGGGACAGATCATGCTCAATCCTGCAATGTGGGTTTAGAAACAAAATTATTCAGCAATGATTTTGGCCTTGATGACATTGTAAGATAAAAAGGAAAGCCGATTTGAATTAAGCTAATAATTTTGGAATTTGTCACAAAGCAAAATTTGCAAAGTTTACAATTTTTATTTTGTCCTCTGCCCAGAAAGAAATGGGCATCTCAGGTCTGACGGAAAGAGAGCAAGGCTCTTCGCACTGACCTCCTAACTGGGAGGAAACTGTGGCTCACCTGTGTCTCTGCAATACAGAGCTCACCTGTGCATCGCACAGACGCAGGTGAGCCACAAGTGCCGCTTGTCTTTTTTCATTTCCAAATTTTCTGAGGCCTCTGAAATGCTGTAATGAGATTGAGAACCTTGCCTCCACAGATCCTTCCAGGGATTTGACGGAATGTGACTGTCACCTGTTTTAAATGGCTTTCCTCAGATACATTGCCTGCAGTGGTGAGTCACTGCCCTATGCTGCCCAAGCACTCTGCTGAGCTGCCTCCCTCTGCCAAATCTGCTTCTACATTCTGAACACAGCTATAGGCCTCTGCTGTGGGCCCACCTCAATCACTTTGGTGCCCATCATTAGGAATCTATGTATTATTCTCCTCCATTCTACTAAGCACCCCTTGTGGATAAGATTACATCTTCCTGTTTTCATCCTCCTTCCACAGCAGCCATGCTTTGCCTTGCACAGAAGTCCATGGGAGTTCTGAATTCCATTAGATAGATTTTTATGGGTGACCTCAGTGGTGTGTGTCAGGTAACACCCTGAGGAGCATTTAGTGAGAGATTTGATAGCCAACCTCAGGGTATAATCCTTATAGGAGCATAAGATGGTTCCTTCCAGGAGACCCTACCTGGTACTAGGCATTTGCTTAGTCATACTACCTGCTCCCAAACCCAGAATCTCTAATTCAGTCTCTCAATCAGGGGTCATAAGGAACTTTAGAACTCATTACACGCAGTTTTCTATGGAAAGGATTGTCAATACTATGGAAGAGAATCTGGATAGAGAATGCCATGAAAGCCCAGAATAATGACACCACTGAAGATGCCATTTCAAGCAATTCTCCTGCCTCAGCCTCCAAAGTAGTTGGGACTACAGGCACGCACCAACACACCCTGCTAATATTTTTTGTATTTTTAGTAGAGACAGAGTTTCACCATGTTGATCAGGATGGTCTGGATCTCTTGACCTCATGATTCGCCCACCTCGGCCTCCCAAAGTTGTGGGGCCACTAAAGCAATTTTTTTTTTTTGCATATATCCAGTAATGGGATTGCTGAGTCAAATGACAGTTCTGTTTTAAGTTATTTGCAAAATCTCCAAACTACTTCCCACAGGAGATGAATTAATTTGCATTCCCACCAGCAGTGTGCAAGTGGTCCCTTTTCTCAGCAGCCTCATTAGCAGCTGCTGTTTCCTGACTTTTTAATAATAACCATTCTAACTGGTGTGAGATGGTATCTCGTTGTGGTTTTGGTTTTCATTTCTCTAATGATTAGTGATGTTGAGCAATTTTTCATATGTTATGTTTTTTAGTAACATTTTCTTTTCTCTAGCTGGCTGCATTGTAATAATATGGGATATAATACTAATAACATACAAAATATGTGTTAATTGACTACGTTATTGGTAAGGTTTTTGGTAAACAGTTGGCTATTAGTAGTTATGTTTTTGGAGAATCAAAAGTCCTATGTGGATTTTCTACTGACAGGGGTTGGTCCTCCTAATTCCCACATTGTTCAAGGGTCAACTGTACTAGCAATGAACAGCTGAAAACTGAAATTAAAATACCACTTAAATAGCATCAAAAATATAAGATACTTAGAATAGAGCTAACAAGGGATGTGAAAGACTGTACACTGAAAACTATAGAACACTGATGACGGACCTAAATAAATAGATATGATAATGAATTGGAAAACTCAAAATTGCTAAGATGTTGTTTCTTCCCAGTTGATCTATAAATCCAATACATTTCCAATCAAAATCCAAACAGGTTTTTTTGTACAAATTAACGAACTTATTCTAAAATCTATAAGGTAATGTAGAAGACCTACAATAGCAAAAATAACTTGAAAAAAAAATAAAAAAAATTAGAGAGGTAAAACTATCTCATTTATAGATTATTACACAGATATAGTAATCAAATATTTCACAAATAGATCAACAGAACAGAATACAAAGTCTAGAAATACATGCACAAATGTATGAACCAAGTTTTTTATAAAGGTGCAAGGCAATGTAGTGGAGAAAAGGCCACAGTTTTCTACAATTAGATATTCACATGCAAGAAAATGAGAAAAGATCTCCGTGTCGTCCTACCAAAAACCTATAACCCCCATTTTACCTCGATAAAAATATCAGGCAAACACACACTGACATTTTAGAGGAACATTCTATTGGACACCTGATCAGGACTGCTCAAAACTGCCCAAGTCACCAAAAGCAAGGAGAGTCTGAGACACAGATGCTGGAAAAGACTAAGGAGACATGATGACTACATTTCAGGTGGTATCAAAGGGATACCATAAAAGAACAGGGATATTGGCCGGGCGCGGTGGCTCAAGCCTGTAATCCCAGCACTTTGGGAGGCCGAGGCGGGTGGATCACGAGGTCAAGAGATCGAGACCATCCTGGTCAACATGGTGAAACCCCGTCTCTACTAAAAATACAAAAATTAGCTGGGTGTGGTGGCGCGTGCCTGTAATCCCAGCTACTCAGGAGGCTGAGGCAGGAGAATTGCCTGAACTCAGGAGGCGGAGGTTGCGGTGAGCCGAGATCGTGCCATTGCACTCCAGCCTGGGTAACAAGAGCGAAACTCCGTCTCAAAAAAAAAAAAAAAAAAAAAAAAAAAAAAAAAAAAAAAACAGGGATATTAGGTAAAAATTAATGAAATGTGAAGGAAACAGACACATTCATCATAATGTGTCAATATAGAAACGTAAGATTTAACAATGGGGGAAACTGGACACAGAGGAGATGAAAATTCTCCAAACTATTCATTGCAACCTTGCTATAAACCTCTACTTATTCTATAATAACGTATTTGGAAGAAAAGTCACTTAATAGACTGTGAGAAATTATTTGCAGGGTCCCCATGGATGAACACAGCGAAGGATTCATCAGAGGCATGGTGGGAGCTGGCTAGATTATCTCTGCAAATGGTCTTGGTGTCTGATGCTGGAGCTTAAGGACCCCAGGGTGGGTCTCCCCTTGAAGAGACTATTCTTTCCCATTTAAATGAGCTTGACACCCTTGTCAAAATTTGGCACCTAGTCAATTGGCCAAGGATGTATGGTTTTTTTTTTTAATTCTCTCTTTTATTCCATCATTCTATATGGAAAGATGTTGTTTGAGACAATCAAAAAAATGTTGTTATGGACTGGAAATAATAATATTAAAGCATTTTTTATTGCCTTAGATATAATCACGATATTGCGGCCATGTAACAAATTTTTCTTTTTTTAGATATTTAATTAAATATTCAGTGATGAAATGACATGCCAAGAAATTCTTCTTTAAATGACACAAATTTCTGTTTTAAAGTTTTCTTTAACAAGACAAAAAAAAAGGGATAGATTAATTAGTACAGCAAAATAGTGAAAATTATTTAACCTAAGGATGGATAAGTGGGTGCTCATTACACTGAGTCTCTCCTTTGTGTATGTTTGAAAACTTTAAAAATAAAAACTTGAAGTAAACAATTTTAGTAAGAAGCCTTAGTCTTGTCCACCAAAAGCTAACTTTGAATTTGGATCTTGGATTACAGCAAAAATGTTTGAGCAATGGGGGAAGCACAGATCTCTTCTTGCTCTGTAGCCAGATCCCACCCCCAGTTCTGCAAAGCTGCACCTGCCATGGATGGTATAGATGGAGCCTGAACTCTTTATACCTAAAACAAGTCATCAATTCTGTTGGAACTCATCAAAAATTCAAAGACTAGGAGTGACTTCCTCTTTTTCTCATTAAAACAATTTCAATGTTCTGATGAATTATTTACACACCATTAATTTACACACACATTAGAATGCTGAAATGTAAGAGAATACCACCCCAAATGATTTAGTTTAGAAGTCCGTCCCCTCCAAATCTCACTTAAATAGCATCAAATCTCACACTGAAATTTGATCTCTGATGTTGGAGATGGGGCCGTCTGCCATCCTTGTTAAAGTATTTAATTACATCCCTGGATGTAATTCCGCTGGATAGGGTCAAGGAGATTTTGTTATAGGAAACCTTCAAGAAAATCCCCTATATAGGGTCTGGGACACGGCACACAAACACACCTGCACATATACAAACACATACATGTACAATCACATACTCTATCATCAAGTACTACTTCCTTCTCATCAGACAGATGAGACACAGACTCTGAATCCTCTTTCCCAGCAAGATGTAACCAACCGCATGCTTTTCCCAGACACACCCTGAGCATCTAAAACAAGGAAGGAGCAATATGCAGTGTCCATCGTTCTTGTGATGACAATTTACTTTTGTGGTTGAGCAATATCCAAGACTCTTTACCAAGAAGCCCTCTTTGAGTTCTGAATTCCTCTGTGAGAATTCTTCTGGCATTACAAATATAATCATAAACATACACATTAATATATATAACCCTCCACAACTATAAGAAGTTTCATACATATATATTCTTTAATAGATACATAAATGCATTTATTTCATATCTCATGAAAGATATTTGTAATTAAAACAAATGAAACCATATATGGTTTAATGTTTCATATTTTATAGATATCCCCCTATTATAGGTGATATAAAATCATATGTAGGTTCCTATATCTCTAAGGACCTCTGGGTGACCCTGTGAGCCACAGTGAACTCAGTGAGGCTCAACAAGTGGCAGAGCCTCACCCTCGGCCAAAGGGTGTAGGCAACACATAAGTGGTGGTTGGTTCTATAATTAATGGAGGGCAAAGGGGAGAAAAGTGCTTCAACAAGTCCAACCTCCTAGATTTCTGCCACTTGCATCTCCTAGCCTGGTCTTGTGAAGATGTAAAAGCCTAATTTTGAAAAGCCTACAACTGGAGACTTCCTGCTTTTTAGCAAGAGCATTATTTCACTTTCCCATGAGTTGGCTGAACAGTCACTCTTTCACTAAACATCTGCCAATATATGAGAGAATATGACTGTGTTACAAAGTCTACTGAACCTTATAAGAAGCCAGAACAATAAATAAAAATATCTACTCCATCCTTAATAAAATAATATACTGAGATTAGACACCAGGTGTTTCATCTGCATTTAGCAACTATGCATTTGCAAAATCCTATTCTCATATTTGTCAAGGACTTTTCAATCACAAGTGACTGAATCCTAGTTAAACTGGCTACTCTCATAATATTACTTAATAATGTTTTGTAAGTACATGCTCCAGCAAAGCAAAATAACTGGTATAAATATCAGAGAGGGGAATTATTTGCAGATAACATTTTATATTGGATATCTAATGCATACTACAAAATAATAAGAAAAGTTACTAATGTGGCTGGATACAAGACACATATGCTACAACCAAAACATTAATTACCAATAATCAGTTAAATGTGGAAATGGAAAAATTGCCCTGTATATAATAGTTTCAAAAAAATAAAATACCAAGGATTAAATGTCAAGAAGAAATATAAAATGCTTGTATGGTGAAAAATTTTATTGGTGTATGTAAAAACAAGATCTGAATTAATAGTGAGACATACATATTCCTGAACAAGAAGACTTAATAGCAAAAAGATGCCAATTCTTCTCAATTCATGAAAACTCTGTAACCCTACCTGTAGGACTCTAGTCTACTAAGATAAAAGCAATAATATGGAAATATATTCATGTAAGGAAAGTATTAAAGAGTGTTTATGTGGTCTTATTCATAATGGCAAAAAATGGAAAATTCCTAAATCTATTTCAATATTAATTGGCTAAAAAGTACACTACATCCAATGCAAGTCTTTTATGCAACTGTTAAAAGAACTTGGTGGTTTGCTGCATACATACCCCTATCACCTACATTAGGTATTTCTCCTCATGTTATCCCTCCCTAATCCCCCCACCCCCTGCTAATCACAGTTCTAGAAGGAATCCTTTTATAATTTCCAAAGCCAGATTATTCTTACTATGCTAAAGGAGAGGTGACTTACCATAGGCAATGGCTTTCCCTGTTTGCAGTTGATACCACCAATGAAGACCATGTTGGGCATCACAGGTCTGGGATAGTCCAAAACAAAGTCAGTGCGCAACAGCCAAATTGATGTGTGGCTGTAGAGATCATATGCCGTGACAGGTGTTTGGAGAATTTCAGAGGCTGCTTCTAGGGCAGTTTTCAAAAAATGGTGGCAAAACAAATGTTCCTCCAAGTGCATGATATGGTTCCGTACTCTCTCCTTGAAAGTCATGGCATCTGAGAACCCTAAGAGACCTCTGGGGACATAGGAAAGAGGAGCAGGACACTGTGCACCTTCTTCAAGATAATGACAAAATATCCCCCTAGTGAAGATCACAGAGGGAAGGGAGAAATATTTGGCAACAATTAAGCCACAGGTATCAAAAGGATCAAGAAACACTGCATCAAAAGAAGTCTCCTTTAAGTATTCTACTAATTTTTTGTCCTTAAACAAACTCCTGCAATGTGAAAAAAATAAGTCAAAACTGCCACTGTATGGACTCATTAATAGAGAAAATATACTTTGTATTTTTCCTTTCCATTGATCATTGGCAAATGCCAGGAACTCTCGGTCCTGATCCTCCAGAGAGTATGAGGTTGAGTAACTCTTCACTGTGCAATTCAGTTTTCTTCCCAGTTGCCAACTCACCTCTGGCCTGACTACGACCACCTCATGCCCCCTGAGGATGAGTTTCTCCACCACCGACTGCATGGTGAACCAGTGGCTCCCATCCATGGGTACTACCAGCAGCTTGCCTGCATGGGCAAAGCCACAGGTTAGCAGCAGAAGCACACATAGGGAAAGGGGGCCAGTCCACCCTGCAGGAGCCATCAGAGAACTTCAGCCCAGAGCCAGCAGCTGGGATTCTAAGCTCCTATAATACAGCAGGCGGAATAATTACAGGCACAAAACCTGACCCCAATAGAGGGCGTGTATTTATCCCTTCAGGAAAAAAAAAAAAAAATCACAGTCACTGACAATGATTTACTCATAAGAAGAAGAATACATGAGTAGCCTTTGCTGAGATATCTATTTGTATGTTTTCCAGGCAAGAATAGCTAATGGTCTTTGCCTTGGGGACAGATTATGCCCTGTGCTGCAATGTCAGTTTAGACACAGAATTATTAAGCAATGTGTTTGAACGCTGAAGATTCAGAAAGATAAAGTAAATTTGAATAAATCTAATGTATTTGGGATTTGTCCCAAAGCAATATTTTGCCTTTTGGCAACCAAAGACTCTCTGTCCAGAAAGTAATTGGCATCGCATGTTCCAAGGAAAGACAAGGCCCTCAGCACTGACCTCCTAACTGGCAAGAAATTGGGGCTGACCTGCGTCTCTGCAATGCATAAGCATTGCTGCTTGTCTTCTTCTATCTAAACCCTGAGAGGCCTCTGAAATGCTGAATCAAGATGGACAACCCTGCCTCCATGGACCATGCCAGGGACTTGATGGAAAGTGACTGTCACCTATTTTAAATGGCTTTCCTCAGATACGTCGCATGCAGTGGGGGGTTGGTGGCCCAATTGTTGCATGAGCACTCTGCTGAGCTGCCTCTCTGTGATCCCTCTACTTCCACACTCTAAACACACCATCACTCCACTGCCCTCCTTCAGGAAAAGATGCACTTGTCTCCCTCAGTCTGCTGAGCGCTCCTTGAGGCCAGCGGTGATGTCATCCTCTTGTTTTCACCCTCCTTTCTCAGTACCCATGCTATGCTTTTGACACAGTTTGTATCTTTATACGTTTGGGTTTATAAATAGGACCACCCCTTTCTATAAACATGCTAGTGCCCAAGCCTTGAAGGGAAAAGATCAACACCCGATGCCAGTTTTATTGTTGCATAAGAAGGTCTCAAAAAGAACACTTTTTCTGGATTGGTTCTATCACTGTTTTGTCCCTGAAGTTAGGAAATACCTTGCCAGTAAGAGACTGTCTTTCAAAGTTCTTTTGATTTGGGACAATGCCCCTAGCCACCCAGAACACACAAGTTCAACAACTAAGGTGTCAAAGTGGTTTACCTGCCAGCAAACCCAGGATTTCTAATTCCACAACAGAAGAAGGGAAATATGGTCTTTCAAGATACGGATCTGGAAAAATTTCAAGATGACTTGATGGAGATTAGTGCTTTTGAATCAGTACCAGGTACTAAAGAAGATGTAGAAGAAACAGTGCCAGAAAACAAATTGCTATTAAACAATCTGGCAAAGGCTTCTGATTATTAAGACTACTTTTGGGGGAATGCTGGGAAGATGGCCGCCTAAGAACAGCTCAGGACTTCAGCTCCCAGTGAAGGTGCAGAGGGTGAGTGGACGCCGCATTTCCAGACGAACTCTTATTGCCCACAGACCAGGAGATACCCAGGCAGAGGGGTCGCCAGCGTCGCAGTCCCAGCCGGTGCGGCTGTTTTGGCCCCTGTGGGGCTGATTCCGCCCGCGCGGCTGCTGTGACCACTCCCTGTTGCTGCGGTTCTCCGTACAAAAGCCACTGGTCTGGGAGCCCTCTTAGCTGGCGAGCAGAGCCCTGAGACGGCAGAGTGGGCCATTCATCTGAAATAGCGAGTCAGGCCAGGAGATTCCTAGGCAAAAAATCCGCCAGGAGCCGGCGCCGCAGTTCGAGCCGACTCCATAAGTCGCAGCACGGGAGATCCCGGCGCCTTTTCAGCAGGCGACCAAAATGCGGGGTCCTTCAACTTAAAAGAAAAGACTCTGAGTCAGGGAGCCAGGTGTTCAGGCTCCGTTGGTCCCACCCCTCCACCCCCAACAACAACGAAAACAAAAACAGTAATTGGAAACCCTCTGGGTTGAGCCCTTCAAACCAAGCACAGCTGAACCGGGACGGTCCGGCTCCGTGGGGGAGGGGCTTCCGCCATTACTGAGACTCTCCACCGCTACGGAGGCAGGCTGCCGTTGCCGAGGCAACCCGCCGTTGCCGAGGCAACCTGCCACAACAGAGAGAGTCCGCCATAACAGAGGCGGGGCCACCATTGCCCAGACAGTTCTAACTATGCCCATATAAAAAGGACTACAGGGAAGAGCTCAGGGCAGCTGGGCGGAGCCCACAGCAGCTCAGCAAAGCTCCTGCGGGCAGGCAGTGGCTAGGCCTGCTGCTAACTGGGTGGGTCAGACCTGAAAGAAAAATCAAAAAAGGCAGTAGTGCAACGGAAACTCATAAAGCTCCAACTCCCTGGGACAGAGACAGACAACAGGTGGATAAACCCACAAAAATGGGAAGAAACCAGCGCAAAAAGGATGAAAACTCCCGAAACCAGAACACCTCTCCTCCTAAAAGGGATCACAACTCCTCACCAGCAAGGGAACCAGACCGGATGGAGAAGGAGGGTGATGAAATGACAGAATCAGACTTCAGAAGATGGGTAGTAAGAAACTACAATGAGCTAAAAGAACATGTTCTAACCCAACGCAAAGAAACTAGGAACCTTGAAAAAAGATTGGACGAACTGCTGACGAGAATGGACAGCATAGAGAGGAGTATAAGTGAATTGATGGAGCTGAAAAACGCAACACGAGAACTTCGTGAAGCATGCACAAGCTTCAACAGCCGAATTGACCAAGCAGAAGAAAGGATATCAGAGGTCGAAGATCAACTCAATGAAATAAAAAGAGAAGGCAAGAACAGAGAAAAAAGCGCAAAAAGGAATGAACAAAATCTTCAAGAAATGTGGGACTATGTGAAAAGACCTAATCTACGTCTGATAGGTGTACCTGAATATGATGAAGAGAATGAATCCAAGCTGGAAAATACTCTTCAGGATATTATCCAGGAAAACTTCCCCAACCTAGCAAGGCAGACCAATATTCAAATCCAGGAAATACAGAGAACACCACAAAGATATTCCTCAAGAAGAGCAACCCCAAGGCACATAATCGTCAGATTCACCAGGGTTGAAATGAAAGAGAAAATGCTAAGGGCAGCCAGAGAGAAAGGTCGGGTTACCCACAAAGGGAAGCCCATTAGACTCACAGCAGATCTCTCAGCAGAAACCCTACAAGCCAGAAGAGATTGGGGGCCAATATTCAACATCCTTAAAGAAAAGAACTTTCAACCCAGAATCTCCTATCCAGCCAAACTAAGCTTCATAAGTGAAGGAAAAATAAAATCCTTTGTGAACAAGCAAACACTCAGAGATTTCATCACCACCAAACCTGCTCTACAAGAACTCCTGAAAGAGGCTCTACACATATAAAGGAACAACCAGTACCAGCCACTCCAAAAACACACCAAATGGTAAAAAAGCAGCAACACAATCAAGAATCTGCATCAACTAACCAACAAAACAGCCAGGTAGCATCAAAATGACAGCATCAAATTCACACATAACAATACTATCCCTAAATGTCAATGGACTAAATGCCCCAATCAAAAGACACAGACTGGCAAATTGGATAAAAAGCCAAAACCCATCAGTGTGCTGTATCCAGGAAACCCATCTTACATGCAAGGATACACAAAGGCTCAAAATAAAGGGATGGAGGAAGATCTACCAAGCAAACGGAGAGCAAAAAAAGGCAGGAGTTGCAATTCTCATCTCTGATAAAATAGACTTTAAAGCAACAAAGATCAAAAGAGACAAAGAAGGACATTACATAATGGTAAAAGGATCACTGCAACAAGAAGAGCTAACGATCCTAAATATATATGCACCCAATACAGGAGCACCCAGATACATAAGGCAAGTTCTTAATGACTTGCAAAGAGACTTAGACTCCCACACAATAATAGTGGGAGACTTTAACACCCCATTGTCAATATTAGACAGATCATCCAGACAGAAAATCAACAAGGACATCCAGGACCTGAATACAGACCTGAAACAAGCAAACCTAATAGACATTTACAGAACTCTCCACCCCAAATCCACAGAATATACATTCTTCTCAGCACCACATCACACCTACTCTAAAATTGACCACATAATTGGCAATAAATCACTCCTCAGCAAATGCAAAAGAACAGAAATCCTAACAAACAGTCTCTCAGACCACAGTGCAATCGAGTTAGAACTCAGAATGCAGAAACTAACTCAGAACCGCACAGCTTCATGGAAACTGAACAACTTGCTCTTGAAAGTTGACTGGATAAACAATGAAATGAAGGCAGAAATAAAGATGTTCTTCGAAACCAATGAGAACGAAGACACAACATACCAGAATCTCTGGGACACATTTAAAGCAGTCTCTAGAGGAAACTATATAGCAATAAACGCCCACATGAGAAGAAAGGAGAGATCTAAAATTGACACCCTATCATCAAAATTGAAAGAGCTAGAGGAGCAAGATCAAAAAAACTCAAAACCTAGCAGAAGACAGGAAATAACTAAGATCAGAGCAGAACTGAAGGAAATAGAGACACAAAAAACTCTTCAAAAAATCAATAAATCCAGGAGCTGGTTCTTTGAAAAGATCAACAAAATAGACAGACCACTAGCCAGATTAATAAAAAAGAAAAGAGAGAATAACCAAATTGATGCAATAAAAAACGATAAAGGGGATATCACCACAGATTCCACAGAAATCCAAACCATCATCAGAGATTATTACAAACAACTCTATGCACATAAACTAGTAAACCTGGAAGAAATGGATAAATTCCTGGACACCTGCATCCTCCCAAGCCTAAACCTGGAAGAAGCAGAAACCCTGAATAGACCAATAACATGGTCTGAAGTCGAGGCAGCAATAAAGAGCCTACTACCCAAAAAAAGCCCAGGTCCAGATGGTTTCACAGCTGAATTCTACCAGACATACAAAGAGGAGCTGATACCATTCCTTCTGAAACTATTCCAGACAATCCAAAAAGAGGGAATTCTTCCCAAATCATTTTACGAGACCAACATCATCCTGATACCAAAACCTGGCAGAGACTCAACAAGAAAAGAAAATTTCAGGCCAATATCCATGATGAACAT